CACACACACACACACACACACACACACACACACACAGACACACACACACATATATATATATATATATATAAAAGAACAGTAAGATATATAATCCGGTGTTCTTATTGATATCTTTTATTTTTATTTTTACAAAACAGTGCTCAATGTAAATTTACAGAGCAAAAATATTATAAATTAACTGATTTAAAATGTTTTTTTCGCTACACAGTAATAATCATGTTTCAAAAACTGAAGCTAAAATATTCGCTTGAAGATGAAACGGAACTAATGCTTTTAATTTAATTATATAATTAAATTTGAAGTTTTTAGCTTCAGTTTTTGAAACATGGTTATTACTGTGTATCGAAAAACCATATTTCAAATCAGTTAATTTATAATATATATATATCTATATATCTATATATATATATATATATGAGATAACGATATCTAAATTTTTATATATCATGAACAAGAACACCGTAATAATAGAAGATCTGCGAGGAAGAACTGAAATGTCGAAAGGTTCAGTTTACTGTGAGTGACCTTGCGATCAAGGCATTTTCTTTGTTTTTCTCTTTTGATCAGAATAGCATTTTTTTTATGTAAAAAATTATGGTTTGTCTCGTTACGTTGAGCAGCCAACACATTCGATGTATTGTTTTGTAAAATGTCTCTTTTGTCTTTATATAATCTTTTATTTAACTTCCTTGAGGTTTCTCCTATGTATTTTTGTGACAAATATTACGTGTGTGTGCGTGTGTGTGTGTGTGTGTGTGTGTGTGTGTGTGTGTGTGTGTGTGTGAAATAGATAGAGAGAGAGAAAATGATGTCTAAATCTTTATATATCAGAAAACTTTTAAAGAAAATTGACAAAGTGGAAAAAAAAAACATTCGTGTGACGCACTTCATCGGACTAATCACTAAAGTGGGTGTTTGCGTTGACGTAACTACGCATGCGCACGAAGCAAAGGGGATGCTGAGAATTTTAATCTTTTAAATGTCATTATTTTAAAAATATGTGTTTGGCTATATAGTCTAGCCAATTTCATTTAGTTTCTTAAACTATATTCAAAAAAAATTTGTTTTATCAGTTTTGTTATTAAGTATCCCACATTGCAATAATAGAAGAAAGATGAAAATTTAAGAAGCTGGACGCAAATTTACAGTGGATGATGACCGAGAAATTAAAACATTTTCTATACAGTTTCGTCTTAGTAAAATGCTTTCTCTTTTAATTACAATAGTATTTTTTACGGTCAGACTGATTATTGCGAGAAATTTTGAGTGTGTTGTTTTGTAAAATGCCCTTTTTACATATCATTTATTTAAATTCCTTGAGGTTTCTCCTATGTATTCTTTGTAGCAATTATTGCAGGTAATAGAGTAAATTCCTCCTTCTAGTTTAAGCTTATTATTATTTTGTTTTCTATTAATTAAGTCTTCTATCGTAACAAATTTTATGTTGAACTGAGATGAATTCTTTTCAGTTATACAGAGTGGGCACTAAAAGATTGAATAATATAAAACAAAAATAGCGCACAGTGCGCTTAGGACCTCTTCCCGGAAGATCACTGATTAATCCAGTTCTTTCAAACAAAATTAGGTTCCGAATCATGTTATCGTTAGGAGATACTCTGACATTAAAATGTTGCCGGTATTTTCTCTGATTTGAATAATTGACCTTTTACTGGAATAGAAAAACTCAATGATTGTTGCTGGGCATCATACGTCGCCATTTTTAATCTCCAAGGGATGCTCTATAACCTACCAAACAAGTAAATAAAAAAGATTGAAAACAAACAAGTTATGACTTTTTCAAACCCTTCACTTTTTCAGTGGCCACCCTATATTTGTGATAGGGTTGAATAATATATATTGATACGTTTGGGCTTGTTAGAAAGGCCAACTCTTCTATTTTTAAATATTTTACGAGTTTCGCATTGAATATGATATAATTCGATTATTGTAGGAGCTTAAAAGTATTATCAATATATCTCTCCTCTTCATATAAATACTGAGGGCTGCAAATTCTGAGTGCTCTTAAAGAGAATCCGATAATTATTCCGGATTTTATTTTGTTCTTATGGTGAGAATATAAATTTATGAGATCATTTTTATTAGTTGATTTGTGATGGACACTTACTTTTAGGTTATTTTTTGTCGGATTTTAACGAACTTGTCAGGACTTATTCACAAATGAATGAAATTATTTTTGAAATTATCTTTTAGAAAATCATGGTAAAAATATTTTTTTTACATCTGTTACACCCGCTTAATTTTATGAAATTTCGAGAAATTAAGATTCCCCTTTCATCTTATATTAGTTAAAAGCAGGACTCTTTGGAGAATTTAAATCATCAATTGGTTTTTGTCAAATAGAAACATCATTTGCCGAAAATCTGCTCAGAATCGTAAAATAAAAGGGTCAATAAAACTATGACATTATTTAATTAGAAACGCTTTTAATTGCTTTTATAAATAAGATATATTAAGGGCACTATTGTCTTTGAATTTATATGAATAAAAGATTTTGTTTGAAACACCTTGTAGACTTTTAACTCACCTGATTATCAAGCCATATAATAATTATCAATGTACATTTATTTATATGTTTCCTGTCCAAACTGTAGTGGGAAAGTCGTTTTGATAATCTATACAAATAAAATATTCATCTGCATTTAGACAAAATTAGTTCCCTAGCAAAATGAACTGTTCAATTAGTTTATTTAATCCTACACTTCTTAGATTAGAGTTTTATTTGTTCAAGCCTTTCATGTGAGGTACTCGGATACATTTGTCTATTAAATGATCGTCTTGCTTAAACATGGCTTTGAAATAGATTTTGTCGTCGCCGTTTTTGTCATTCTATTGCTAATCTTTTTCTTCCGAGAGATATTTCCATTTCACTGTTATATTAAACACATAAGATAGCATAAAAATATATTAATCAAAAAACGATTCATATAATACCAGAAGCAAACAATGAATCACAGATACCATTGAACGTCTAAAACATATAAAGGGAACAGATTAATTAAACAGTTCATTGGCCTCTATTTTAGCTGTGAATTCTTTATTTCAGTTTTACGTTGTCTCAAAACGTTTGTTTCATTGCATCTCTGTTGAAACTTGACGGCATGGGTACACTGGTATAATACATGTTCAGCAAAACTTAAATCGATGGTGGTCTCAAAGAACAACACATTGAGGAATTCTGAGCGATTGGACCTGAACCTGGTGAGGGCATTGAATAGAGCAATTCAGATGTTTCGTCTACTTTGGCTCCTTTATGACAGACGTAGCCAATTGCGACAAAGAAATCAGGTGGCGGACAGCAATATCTGAATCCCAAGTTACTAAGTTGAAGAAGCTGTTAAGGAACAGGAAGCTTCATTGATAAAAAAAACCCAAAAAAGTCTGCTCTTTCTAAAATGTTGCATCCGGTCTGCATTTTGGCATGGTTCAGACATTTGGACGCACAACGCGTTTAACGTAAAAATCATCAAGGCGTTTGGGAAGTGGTACTATCGACGCTTCTTGCGAATATCATAGACTAATAAGAGGATGCAAGAAATTAGTCATTAGTAATTATCAATCTATCCGATACTAGCAAGGGTAGCAATAGCATTTATCGGTCACGCTCGTGGGGATATGAGAAGGTATTTTCCCGTTGCTCCTAAGTGGGAAGAAAAAAAAGGAATGAAAAAAAAAGGGGTTCAAGGTTTGGCAGCGTAGAACATAGACAACATCAAGGCCTGGGCTTGAATATTAAAAAAAAAATTAGTCCCAATGGCAAAATAGACCATTCACAGTCTTCCAACATCGTCTGCCGCAAATGAGCCATGATGTTGATAATGATGTTTATGATAATGATGAGTTCGGTTTCACGAACAAAGATGGAGAAAGGTGTTGCAATTCTCTTCGTAGAAATTGCGGATGGATGCTGGAGCAAAGATACGAGGAGTAATAAGTCAGTGATTCAAGAAATTGGCCATCAGCAATTTTCACTCTGTCCAACACTGGCAAGGACAACAACAGCTTTTTTCGGTCACGCACTTGGTAAAACGAGAAGGTATTTTCCCGTTGCTCCTAATTGCGAAGATCATCGGAATGAAAAAAAAAAAAAGAAAAGAGGTCGCGGTTGGCAGCATACAACATGGTCAGACAACATCAAAACATTGACTGCCTACAACATGAATAGATTAGTCACATTGGCAAAATAGACTTGTAGTGGACTATTTGTTTTCTCGCCCCATGACAAACGTCGGGGTTACCATATGGAGTGGTATGTCAATAAGAATAGACCACACAATTTATATTTAACGTAAAAACGCCACAAAACATGAAATACAAAAAGTAACAAAATGGTTTTTAAAAAATATAAAATTTGTATTTATTTTGTGTATTGATATACATGAGTAGAAGTTAAAGATATGTGGGTGTTATGTCCCTTAGACTGTGAATATTTTTTATCTGAACTCACAAGAGTTGAATTAATTATAAAGCTGAGAAATCCTGAATAAACTGTAGCTTTAGAAGAATGTTTCAAAGAGAAAAGTTCTTGTTGCATGTTTTGAAATGTTCTGTATGTTTGTAATTTACATTGGAAAAGTTCGTACGTACCGTGCATGCGTGAAAGACTTTTAACGTCTGACCGCCCATGGTCGAGACGAGAATCCTTAATGGTCACATCTTCGCAGGAAGAAGAAAAGAAAAGAGAATGAGCGAACTCGTGTCTGCTATTTATAATTATTGTAACGTGACAGGCTCACAGAAAATGGCAGGAAAACTTGACTTGGTCACGCGCTGGAAAAATATTTGTACGTGGGTGGATTTCAACGCCCACTTGCGTGTTTATTGACCAATTAGCAGCTGATTTTTCCTGAAAATATTTACTAAGCTGAGTAGGCTCTCTGATCCACTTTTTTGCACAAAAATGCACACAATTCAACATTGATAAGAAAGTGGTAGCAGGATGCTACAGACTAATAACAGACTTTTAACATTGTCCGCCGCAAATGAGCCATGATGTTGATGATGATGATCATGATGATGATAAGTTCGTTTTCACGAACAAAGATACAGAAAGATATTCCAGTTCTCTTCGTAGGATGGATGGTGAGGTGAATATAGCAGCGATTCTCTGGCACATGTTCGGTCTATGGCATACTCAGCATCTTTCTGAAGAACCACATTTCTGTTGCTTCAATTCTCTTCTCCGTCTGTGAGGAGATTGTCCCGCATTCACTGCCATATTGGAGGATAGATTTTGATGAGGATACCATGGACTGAACATGTGAGCAATCGACGAGATTTCAGAGAAAATTAAAAAATAAGGTAACTTATACTTAACATCAGGAAGTAGCAGAAATTTCTGGGGTATGTAATGAGGAAGAAGGGCTTGGAAAATCTGATACTCACAGGATGATTCAAGGCAAGAGAGACAGAAAAACAACGTATAACATTGTGAGCTTGAGTAAACGGATGGCGGAACAGGGTTGATGAGAAATAGCAAAGAGACAAATTTTATTAAGCGGTACCAGGGACAGGAAGATGTGGAGGATGGTCGCCTAGGTTCTGAATATTATTTGCATTTTTTAAATTTTATTAGGGTTTTTTTTTTGTTAATTTTGATTTTTTTTATCCGTTTTTTCCTCTATTTTTTCATGTCATTTTTTTCTTTCTCGCAAAATTATATTTTTTTTCTATTTCGTAATTCATTTTATAGTAATTTCTCTTTCTTTCTCTTTCTTTCTCTTTCTTTTCTCTCGTTTTCTTAATTTTTTCTTTCTTCACATTTATACTACTTTTCTTTCTGCCTCGTTTCAGTTGTCTTTCTCGATTGCGCCTGCCATTTTCTTCTTTCTAAACAACTGTCTTTATCTCCTTCAGTTTCTTCCTTCCACGTCTTTCCTTCTTCTTTAGTCACTTTTTTTCGTTATTAATTTTCTTCATTTCACTTTTTCAAACGTTTTGTTTCAGAATTCTCCTACTTTTCCTATCACACGCTCTCTCCTTTCTTTCTTTCTTTCTTTTTTCTTTCTTTAATTTTCCCTTTCTTTTTTCTTTATTTTCTTTTTCTTTCTTTATTTCTCTCTCTCTTTCTTTTTTTCTCCCTCTTTCTTTCTTTATTTCTCTCTCTCTTTATTTATTTTTATCTCTTTTTCTTTATTTCTTTATTTCTTTCTTTATTTCTTTCTTTCTTTTTCCCAATTACTTAAATGTTTCTTCTTTTTGAACAGCGTTCTGTTAATCTGTAATTTTTTTATTTTATTTCTTTTCCAAATTTTTACCTTTTCTTTGTCTTTACATCATTATTCTTTCTTTCTTTCTTTCTTTCTTTTACTTCCTCCATTTCACTATTCCAAAAATGTTCTTTTTCTTTATTCCTTTTTTTCATAATTCTTTTTTTACCGCATTCTTTCTCTTTCTTTCCTTTTCACTACTCCAATTGTCTTTAAATACTTCTTTCATTCTAGTTTCACAAAATTTCATTCTTTTTTCCCTTCTCCCATCTTACCTTTAAAAAAATGAACTCACTGTAGTAGATTCTTTCTTTCTTCTACCCAACATTTCACTATCTCAGCAATTTCTTTCTTTCTTTCTTTCTTTCTTTTTTATATTCCTTTTTATTCGTATATTTACTTTAACTATTTCTTTTCCAAAATTTTAGCTTTCCTTTATCTTCTATTAGCATTCTTTCTTTAATTTTCCCTTTCTTTCTTTCTTTCTTTCTTTCTTTCTTTCTTTCTTTCTTTAATTTTCCCTTTCTTTCTTTCTTTCTTTCTTTCTTTAATTTTCCCTTTCTTTCTTTCTTTCTTTTATTCTTTGTTTATTTTTCTTTCTTTCTTTCTTTCTTTCTTTCTTTCTTTCTTTCTTTCTTTCTTTCTTTCTTTCTTTATTTATTTATTTATTTATTTCTCCCTCTTCCTTTCTTTATTTCTGTCTCTTTCTTTCTTTATTTTTATCTCTCTTTCTTTATTTCTCACTCTCTTTCTTTCTTTCTTTCTTTCTTTTTTATATTGCCTTTTTTATTCGTATATTTACTTTAACTATTTCTTTTTCTAAATTTTACCTTTCCTTTATCTTTCTATTAGCATTCTTTCTTTCTTTCTTTCTTTCTTTCATTCTTTCTTTTCTTTCTTTCTTTCTTTCATTCTTTCTTTCTTTCATTCTTTCTTTCTTTCTTTAATTTTCCCTTTCTTTCTTTCTTTAATTTTCCCTTTCTTTCTTTCTTTCTTTCTTTTATTCTTTGTTTATTTTTATTTTTCTTTCTTTCTTTATTTCTCTCTTTCTTTCTTTATTTCTCTCTCTTTCTTTCTGTATTTCTATCTCTCTTTCTTTATTTCTCACTTTCTTTCTTTTCTCTTTCTTTTTTATACTCCCGTTTTTATTCGTATATTTACTTTTCCTATTTCTTTTCCTAAATTTTACCTTTCCTTTATCTCTCTATTCGCTTTCTTTCTTTCTTTCTTTCTTTCTTTCTTTCTTTCTTTCTTACCTTTATTGTCTGCTTTCTGCATATATAAATATCTTTCAACATTCGCCCACCCGCTTCTTTCTGATCTGATGGTTTCTGATTACCACCCTCCTTGACCTGCCCCCTCTTTTTCTTTCTTTATTCTTTTATGTTTTTTTGTTTGTTTGTTTTTTCTTGCTTATATAATTTGTTACATATGTGGAGGTCGCCGTGAAAGAATCTGGTACAGAATTTCAACAAAAATTCCTCTCGGCCCTGTCCCTAAGTGAGCAAACCCGCTTTTGCTTTCACGTCATATTCCATTGAAATGTCTGCTTAACACTCATTCATAGATTATATAACCGCTTATTTTGTTCGTTTTTTAATTTTCTTTTTCCTTCATTTTTTTTATTTTTTTATTTTCTTTGTGCACCGTTGTTAGAAGAAAAACAGAGGCGGGAAATTTCAAGATGGGTAAGTAGATAGGCAAAAGATAGTGTGATGGATATGGCAAATAGAGACAGAAAAGTGCTTCCTTTCAGCGAACAGGTCAAAATTCTAGACTTAATAAAAAAGAAAATAAATCTAAAATTGCTCAGATAAGAACAAATATTCCCTCTGTCACATCTCTTCTCTATAGGGTATCTTTTTTTTATAATTATTCTATTTTAATATGAGTTATTGATGTTAATCTATTATTGTGGCTAATATGATCTACGGTGAAAACGAATTTTCTATTCGTCACATAAACTTTATTACAGTATATTGTTATAATTGTTCTATTTTATTATTGGTCATTGTTGTTAATCTATTATTGTACCTAATAAGATCTACGGTAAGAACGAATCTTCTATCGGTCACAATTTTTATTACACTATGCTGTAATAATTGATCTATTTTATTATTTGTCATTGTTAATAATCTCTTATTGTGCCTAATAAGCCGTGTTGCGGGCCCGTGTATGCGTTGAGAGATAAACACGTGTATCTCCTGAAATGCCCCCAACAAACATGTCAAACTTGGGATGTGAGTCCACGTAAATAAATGTAAGAAACGACAAGAACCAAACTAACAAATGATAATGTATTAACAACAAAGGTTTACAAATGGCAAAGACAGTAATGCTTGTAGCAAATAAATGTGAAAATTTTTGGGTGCAATGTATGTATAGTGAGTGAATGTGCGTACGTACGTGTGTGTGTATATACGTGTATTGTTCATGTGTTTCCAAAAAGGGAACGCGTTTTTCCGCGAGAGACATACATGTTAACGTGTAAGCGGAAAAAGTGAGAAGAGTGTGATAAAAAAAATTATCGTAGAGTATTTATAGTCCTGAGAGCATCCCGAAAATTAGAAGGGGGCAACCAGACAGATCTACGGTAAGAACGAATCTTCTATCCGTCACATAGCTTTAATTACAATATATTGTTAAAATTGTTCTATTTTATTATTAGGTATTGTTCTTAATCTCTTATTGTGCCTAATCAAATCTCCGGCAAGAACGAATCTTCTATTCGTCACATAACTTTTATTACAGTCTATATCGTTATAAATGTTCCATTTAATTATTAGGCATTGTTCTTAATCTCTTATTGTGCCTAATCAAATCTTCTATTCGTCATAATCTTTTTACAGTATTTTTTTTATAATTGTTCTCTTTTATTATTTGTTGCTGTTTATTCCTTTCCGTACTTGATAAATTAAGCTTTGGTGTATATATATATATATATATATATATATATATATATATATATAAACGTACGGAAATACGCGTATACGGGCGCATGGGGCCTCCGCGAAAACGCATACGCGCGCACACACACACGCATGCTCGCACTCATACATTATGTAAAAAAAAAACTTTCACCAATGAAAAGTGTATATAAACGACAAAAGAACAATAGTTGATACCCCCTGAAGAGTGGATGGAGTGACTCCTGGAGGGTCTGTCTACGAAACTCTGGATTCGGGATGCTGAAGGTAACATTAAAAAGTTGAGTGACAAACCTTTTACTTGTAGCACGTAACCGAATGTAATTTGACTGAAATTCGAACTCGGCTCTCCGATTCCTCAGTCCAAGCTGCTATCCATTACTCTACCGTGCCTCCTCTCTATATATACGATAAAAAATAGTGTATATATAATATTTTCAATACTATTCGAGGTTTTTTCAGGCATTCTTCGCTTGGGTTCGCTGATTACTTGGGACTACTCAGTGGTATATGTATTTGAAGTCTTAAGACCTCTTAGGTCTAGAAGCATTTTGATTCGCCTGTCTTTAAAAATATTAAACTCTGATCTAAACTCATGAGAATAATTTATATTTGAAAAAATAAATAAACAGGTTTCACATGTCTAGCATGCCCCCTTTTGATAACCGCAAGAAAATAAATAATTAAACCAGGCGTCATATAGGTTTTTTCTTAGCCAAATCATTCTACAAGCGTAATCTAAATTCACTTCGCGTTAAATCTTTTGGTTTGGTTCGGTTTCTTTTACGGCATATCAACCTCAATGGGTTATTTAATGCCAACAAAATTGTTATTGCTGGTAATATGTTTTTCTTCAAAAATCTATTTCTGGGAATATTTTTCTTTGAAGAAATCTATAGTTGGTCATATTTTTTCCAAAGAATGTATAGCCGTTTGTATTGCTCGTATTTCTTTTTTAAAAGTATTGCTGGTATTTATTTTTAAGTATTGCTGATAATAATTTTTCCTTTAAAAAATATTGCTGATAATAATTTTTCCTTTAAAAAATATTGCTGGTAATAATTTTTTATTACAAAGTATTTTTGGTATTAAAACCTATTTTTACACAAGTTTGGGTGTTAATTATTTGCCCATAGCTGGGGCCCTAACAAGTGCTACCACTCCGGGTGAGGGTGGACCTGGGAACACCAGCAATTAAGAGGTGGTTCCACGCTCCTCAAAACGTCCTGATCAGAGGCCTTGCTGCTGGATGTAATCTATCGTCTTACCCAGGACGCGGATGTAGTTTATTGTCATACCCAGGACGGTTAAACCTTTTGGAGAAAGGCATAAAATTACATTTTTTGGTATCTATAAGCAAATAACTCAGATAAAGGACATATAAAACACAAGCTTAACGAATGGATTTTTTCCCAATTTGATCTTGTGAAAAACTAAGTGATCCATAGCAGATAATGATTCTTCTTGAAATAGTGCATCTCTGGTAGTTGCAACAAGGATCTTTTATAAAGACATCCGAAAGAAGGTCCTCACTCTAACATCAGCCCCCACCTGCGGACCATAAAAACTTCCGACTACCAGTTGCAAGAACATCATTACCAACTGCACCGCAAACAATTTGGAAGCAAACCATTGCGCCACCCTGAAGGAAAAGAAAACTAGGCGAAAAGACAGCGCCTAAATAGATCCCCTATACAGGCTAGATATTCCCCAGCAACCACTGTGAAGTGTCCTACAGGTCTTATATCCGGCCACCCATCTACCGGCGCTTATGCACCAAGTAAGGGCAAAATAAATCTGACCTTTACAAACATCAGGTAAAAACCTGCAGGTCAAAGTCCTGTTGCCAAATGGGCGTCATTAGCTTTCCCGCCAAAATTTACTTCCGGTGATTGGCATCTCGATGTGGAGCGGTGCTTGGAAAGCTCGTCTGCCAAGTTCAGTATGTTTTCTACACGAGTTGCTTTGTTCTATGCTTTCCCTCCCGAAGCCATTGTTGATTGATGGTGGGTATGCCGATAATATTCGTATTTGGGATAAGAATCATCTTGTACACAATATCAACATCCTCTATCAAGTACATGTAAGTGTAAGCGTTCTTAAAGCAAATTTGTCGCAGATTACTCTCCCAACAAACGCCGTAGCCAAAAATGCCCGAGTTTTCCTTTCACTACACTCCCCCCTTCACATAAGTGACACTCATGGGCGGGCCTCTTTATTCTTAAGCTTCTCCGGAGCGGGGCGACTGTTGGAGGAGATTGTGTGTTATGTTCTGAGGTTTCTTCTGATCTGACAACCTCATGCGCAGAGTCTTCATCATCTGAAGAATGTTCTGAAGATTCTTCTTCTGAGGATTCTTCTGGTCTGACAACCTCACGCACAGAGTATTCACCATCTGCCGTTAGTACGTCCATCTTTTGGCTGCTCTCGGTCACTCACGAACGGTTCGATTTGCCGACAGTGGAATTCCAGTCGAATCCATATATATATATATATATTGTGTGTCACCACAAAATGTATACTTTTTTCCGGTGTCTATCTTTAGTCAGCGATTCAGATATGTATTAGACATATTAGAATATTCATATTTTTTTGTATCTGACTCTCCTCCTTAAAACTTCTCTCTGTTAAATTTTAATCCCCACCTTCACCTTTAGACCTTCCTGTTCTTCTCTCGTCTGTTACCCCTCCCTATAGCTTTCATTTACTCTCGCATTCGTCCCACACTCTCATACATACACTCTCACTAAATTTTATTTTTTATTCCCGGAGTTATTTTTTCTGATTTCTTTTTGAATTTGTAGGTCTGATGAATTGGATCGTATTTACGATTCCAATGTAATAAATTATGACCATGGAGTACTAGTGTTTAAGCCTTTTTTATTTTATATATATATATACATATATATACTATTATTATTACACTTGATTATGGACGATCGACGAGTTTACGTCGTTTGCAACGTTGGGTTTTTATGGAATCTAAACACAAAGATTGAGCAAACAACGGCTAGTCTTTGGTCAAGAAGCCACAAAGTGAGAAAAGCGGAAATGGAATTGACAAGACGTTGAAGATTGGCAGGAAGTGAGTCAGTAAACAATCAGCAGAACGACATCAATCATGGCATTCTTCTTCTTCAGTGTGCCATGTACCTTCAGGGTGGTGGTGATGAAAGCTCTTCACAATTCCCTGCCCTTTACAGCTCTTAATAAATTCAGCCTTTTTGTTAACTCCCCTAAACCCATTTCGTTCTGGGCATGGCGATAAACTACACCCGGCAGCAAGGCCTCTGATCGAGAGGTTTTGAGGAGCGCGGAACCACCTTTTAATTGCTGTTGCTCCCAGGTTTACCCGAGGTGGTAGCACCTGTTAGGGTCCCAGCTATGGACAAATAGTTAACCCGTAAACTGGAGTCAAAACATGATGAAAGTATATACATTTTTATAGTAAAAATACCACCAATATATTTTTGTAAGAAAAATAAAATAACTACTGCTCCCAAGAAAAATAAATTTCGGCATTAAATAATCCATAAGTACCGCTAAACAAACAAACATAACCTAGGTAGGTTATGCGTTGTCTTCCTCCGTTACTCTTGCCTTCAATCTGTTTTGTGAGTATCACATTTTCCAAGCCTTATTTCCTCATTATGTGCCCTAGAAATTTTAACTGTCTCTTTCTGGTGTTAAGTAAGTGTCCTTTTTCTTTTTGTTGCCATTTTCTCTAGAACTTCGTCGTGCCTCACATATCCAGTCCATGGTATTCTCAACATCCTTCCATACCTGAAGAAGACCGATAATACACCTGTCGAAACATTGCAAAAATAATACAAAAAGAGATAAGTTATTCTGACCCGATCCTGTTAATAATTCTTCCCTACTGACAGTCCATTTTTCCTTGTTTCCAATGCATTTTAAGTCTTACGGCCATATCACGTTAAAACACCGGTTCCCATACGATCACCGAAGTTAAGAAACGTCGAGTCTGGTCAATATCTAGATGGGTGGCCGCTTGAGAATACTAGGTGTTGTAAACTTGGATGTGTAATGAATAACGCCTCGGAATTGGAAATCGGGTTTCAATTCCAGTCGAGTTTATTGTATTCATTTACCCTTGAGAAAGGTATGAATCCACCTCTTCTCCCCCAGCTATGGGTTAATTAGTAGAATTATATCAGTAAATCATTATTATCCCAAAAAAATTCTTACAATCATATTTCTTATGTTGATAAGCCGTAAAATCATTTAAAAGTTATTTCTATATTAAGATATGGCCTTTTATTGCAAAATTATTTGCACTGAATTTCTACAATAAAATCGTTAGCGACACATTTACATTATACATATGAACATCCTGACAGTAAAGCCTGCAATAATTCATGACCAATGACAATCCATTTCAACGTCATTTTCAGGGAATTTCTACAGTAAAATAATTTATATCAAATTTCTAGATATACTCAGTAAACTCTAATTTGCTTTGTTGCTATTGATGCAATTATTAGAGTGAATGAAACACAGCAAAAGAGAAAAAACAGATACTGCACTCTGATCCGAAGTAGAAATGCCGATCGATACGTAAATAATAACTCCGTCATTTTTTGACGGGTACTCTGTCAATTATCAAATAATTATTAGTTTTTTTCTACTTTACCGCCGTATTCTGTCTCTCTCATGTTATTCATTTATTTATTTATTTATTTATTTCCTTCCTTCCTTCCTTCCTTCCTTCCTTCCTTCCTTCATTCATTCATTCATTCAATCCTTCTTTCTTTCTTTCATTCTTTCTTTCTTTCTTTTAAGGTTTTCTTTTTCTGTTCCTCACTGTTCTTTCTTTCTTTCTTTCTTTCTTTCTTTCTTTCTTTCTTTCTTTTCCCTCCCTTCGTCTTCTTTATTTGTTTTTTCCTTTTGCGACATTTCGTCTTCCTTTCTTAGCATTTTACATGCTTCCGTTTCATTCTTTCTTTCTTTCTTTCTTTCTTTCTTTCTTTCTTTCTTTCTTTCTTTCTTTCTTTCTTTCTTTTAAGTTTTTCTTTTTTCTTTTCTCCACCTTTCTTTCTTTCTTTCTTTCTTTCTTTCTTTCTTTCTTTCTTTCTTTTAAGTTTTTCTTTTTTCTTTTCTCCACCTTTCTTTCTTTCTTTCTTTCTTTCTTTCTTTTAAGTTTTTCTTTTTTCTTTTCTCCACCTTTCTTTCTTTCTTTCTTTCTTTCTTTCTTTCTTTCTTTCTTTTAAGTTTTTCTTTTTTCTTTTCTCCACCTTTCTTTCTTTCTTTCTTTCTTTCTTTCTTTCTTTCTTTCTTTCTTTCTTTCTTTCTTTGTGATATCAAAAAAAAAAAAAAAATTAAAAAAGAGCAATAAAGTTGACCGATATTGATTCATTCACGAACTGAGACGTAAATTATTGCGTAACGAGTTCGATCCTCACTGGGTGCTCCATATTTGCGACATTGTACCAAACGAGGCTAAGCTGGGTAAATAACAGGTACTCCCCTCCATAGACTAATGATTAACGAGCTCATCTCATTATGACTGAGTAGTGAACCCGATCCTCACTAAGAACGCTATACTTGTAGCCTTGTACCAGACTAGGCAAAAATAAAGCCATAACCCGCCCCGTTTCACCTTTAAAAATGTGCATAATTTGAATGCGCGTCATCGTGTCTATATGAAACAACAATGTTTCCTCTTTTAGAGGACTTTAGTCTCGCTGACGATGACGACGACGACGACGACGATGACGACGACGACGATGACGACGACTACGAGGCCAAGGTCAGGTGGCTTGGAATATGAATGGCGGTAAACGGATGGAGGCAGGAAGAACAACAAATTCGTTCGCTGACATTTTATTGTTCTCTTCGACCGTCCTTCTCCAGCTGTCGACAGCGAAAGAAAACACGACGCCGTCGAATACACATATGCACAAGGTGCGAGCAGGCATAAATGTGAAGTTCACCCTGCTACACACGTCAAAACACACACACGCGTATTAAAAATTGCTTGCGCGGACGGGGTAGGAGACGGTTGTTATAGTCGTTGGCCTCGATGTCTAAACCTAGCTTAGTACGGCACAACGCCTGAATATCAGAGCACCCAGCCAGGGGCAAATTCTCTACAGCAGGGTTAGCCTATGAATTGATTGACTGATTCATTTTCTTCGTCTTATCAACCCTTTGCAGATTCAAAGCCAGAAAGTATTTTTTAGATTGTAAGAACTTTTTCTTTATATAGATTTAGACTAAAAATTTATCACTAAATCATTTAATGATACAAGTCATACTAATTAACCCATAGCTGGATTCAAAGCTACATCGAATTTCATAAACAAACAAGATATTCATATGGATATAAAGTAGGGGATTAATTTAATATTACAATCAATATATAAACTGATCCCTCACTTTGTGGCCACTGTAGTTTCTATAGATTTATATTAAAATTCAAGTGAATGTAAATAAATCTGAAAGACAACTAATCAGTATTCGATTGATTCGTCTTCTACGACTTATCAACCCTTTGCAGGTTATTAAAAGCCAGAAAAATATTTTTAGAGTGTAAGAATTTTTTTTGAAGCAATAATCGTTGTAGTATGCAAGTCTTACTAATTAACTTATAGCCGGGATGGGGGAGAAGAGGTGGATTCATAACTTTCCCAAGGGTATTTGCGTGTAAGGCGTAAGTGAATATAACAGACCCAACGGTAATGGTTTTCTAAGCGTAGCGTAGATGTGGCACATGGCCGAATGTATGGAGCACCCAGTGAGGATCAAACTCACTATTCAGTCGTAAATGAGCTATACCATAGATCTTTCTAGTTGAGCGATAAGTGTGATTCGAATTATATAAAGGTCTTTTCTTTTTTTTTTTTAGTCATTTTTGCCTAGTTTAATACAAGGCGACAATTATGGTGAACTCTGTAAAAAGGGGGCTCACTATTCAGTCGTAAGTACCGTAGAGAAGAGCTCGTTAACCATTGCTGGGAGAGGAGCCCTTGTTATTTCCAAAGTTTAACACCGTTTGTTACAAAGCCACCAGTACAAGGTTCCCAGTAATGACTGTACCGATGCCCGAGATGCGCTCTTTCAAGTATTGATCGGAGTTTCCTTTCTAACCTCTTGTTTAAGGTAGTGTGTAAGGTCAACATCGAGATTATACTCACAGAGATTTCTAGTTATGCGTGCTATCCATTTTAGTTGTTGCTACTGTTGGAAGTCTTCAAGTGATACGGGTTCTTCCTTAAGACCTTAAGGATTCATTCGATTGGAGCCATTTTTAACCATTAATCTGATAAAATGCTTGCATATAGTTGATAGACTGGACGGATTTAGGAAAATTCGATGACGGAAGATTCAGTAATTTTGACAAGGGAGGAAAATTCGGTAACTATGAGATAAAAGTCGATTGAAAATTGATTTTAGGGTCGTTCTGGAGTGGGTGATTTGGGGGCTAAGCTAAAATAACTTAAAATCTTAGGGTCCAGATAAAACCCCACTCCAGAAAAAAAAATATTTACGCATGGCCAGTTGTATGTTGCATGTTCAAGAGTAAGAACTCCTAAGAATTTATTCAACCCTGTTAAAAGGGAAAAAAAGAAATTTTCTTAAAAAATATTGTTTACCTAGTCCTATGAAATGAAATTAAATTAAATTAAAGAAATTATTAACCCGCGAAGTAGGGCTTTTGTCAATTTTTTTTCCAAACAAATCAATTTATTCAAATTTCATCGATTGGTTTGCGAAATTGAACGAAACGTAGCGTTTGTAAATTTTGACAAAAAATGTTAACAATAACTTCAGCAATATTAAATAATGTGAGGCGTTTAACACGCGTCAGCTTGTCGCAAAAAATTCTAGTAAGATAAGCTTTAGTAAAACAAGATGGAAGAGAAAAAGTCATCTGAACAGCAAACATAACCATTTCCACCGAAGCCTTAAAATATTCCCCCATAGAAGAAAATATGTTTATGAACTGGGTTGCACTATTATTTGAAGTCCTGCAGCAGGTAAGCACCATACTCGCCAAGAACATAGTACATCTGACCTTTAGTAAAAAAATGATTTTATAGCACAGTTAAGATAGAAAATGTAATGACTACTCTGTTCCTTAATTATCTTTTTTAGTGCTTAGTAAACTAATAAAGGCCTTGAACAAATTTTGGAAGCTTGCTTTTCACGTAGCCCAGGTAGGATTTATTAAACTCATAAAAATTCCTATTCAATAGTATGTTGACTTTCTAAGCGTAGCTTAGATGCGACACAAGGCCAAAAGTATAGAGCACTCAGTGAAGATCGAAGTCAATATTCAGTTGTAATTGATCTCAGGAGTCATGCTTGTTAACCATTACATCACGTCGAAGTGCTCCAAACTTACATATTATATAGATGATAATTAAAATTATTCACAACTTTCATTAAGATCAAATTTGAGGCTTTAGTAAAACAATATGGAAAATGGAGATCAGTGGAAGAGAAAATTCATCTGAACAGCAAACATAACGATTTGCATTGAAGCCTTAAAAACGGCAACAATTAAAATGGTAATCTTCTAAGCGTACCCTAAATATGGTACAAGGCCGAAAGTATGGAGCACCCAGAGAGCATCGCGACAATGGTTAGCGAGACAAGCTTGCTAATCATTGGACCACATCGAAGTGCCCAATAGAATGGTGATTTTCTAAGCTTACCTCAGATAAGGAACAAGGTCGAAAGTATAGGGCACCCAGTGAGGATCACTTTCTTTCTTATTATGTATGCCTAATTACTTCAACTATTACACCATGTCGAAGTACCCAATGGAATGGTGATTTTCTAAGCTTAGCTCAGATATGGAACAAAGCCGAAAGTGTGGGGCACCCAGTGAAGGTCGAACTCACTATTCAGTCTTAAGTAATCTCGCGAGACCAGCTTGCTAACTATTTCACCACGCCGATGTGCCTAAAACAAATGTCACATGTAACTCGGCGAGAAAATCATGACATAAGATACTGATATTCTTTAAGTTAGTACTAAAGTGTCTTAATTCCTCTAGCTACACTGA